TTATGCTTAATATTAACAGTTGAATAGTTTAACTTTAACAAATCAACATACCACATAAAAACACTCAATAGCTTAGATTACTTACTAATAAACTTACTAAAGCCTGTTACTCCCAATAGAGCACAGGCCGCTGACCAGCATTCACCAAACCACTCTGTCCCGTGCCTTTCTTTCTAGTTCTATCCAATTGTTGTTCATTCTTCTCATGTCTGTTTAAATTTCTGGGTGTAATGTGTTGATTGGTCTTCCTCTTCTCTTTTGGCATCGAGGATCCCGGGTGAGGGCTTGCCTTGTGACGTAATTGGTAACAACTTAGATAATTTCATTAAAATTGTGAACATAAATTAGTTCTTTAAAAATAAAATTATTTTTTATTGTAGGATATTCAAAACAAATGACAAGTCATTAAAATATCAAAAGGTCATTTTAAAAACTAACAATCTTTGGTGAAATATTTGATCAAGGCACTGTAATTTCAATTTCAATTTCTATGTACACATTTCTGGGTAATGAGAATAGCCTATTTGGAAACAAAAGTTATTGTATATACATTACTATTTTTAATAATCGAATTCATGAGTCGGTTTATGCTAGAACATCATTAAAAACCTGAAAGCACTAAACAGTTGTTTCGTCCTAGTATGGGACTTCTCAGCAGCGCGCATCCGTGATCTCGCATGTGAGGCACGGACTTGGGACCTTCGGTTGAGCCCAGGCTCAACAGTGTTAATATCTAAACTTCAATCGTTTCATGATTTTGGGAAGCCATTCATCCATTGTTTGAGGTAGATCCCTGCCAAGTGCTGCTAGAATCCTATCAATCAAGTTACAATGTAGCCACTAATCTGAATAACGCAGAGTCTCTTGTGAGACTGAAAGTTCTGCGTTTGATTCCCAGATACCGGGTCATGTATTCCCAACATTCAGGATTCTTATACTAGGATAAAACAATTATCCAGTATTTCTAGGTTTTCAATATTATTCTAAGATCAGTTCATGATTGAATCTATGGAAATCACATTAATAGCTATGAATAAACTAACCAACATTGAATGTATTAAGAATTACTAAATTGTTAAAGACAACAGAGTACTTGATAATACTACTGTTCTACTTTGGAAATCCTCCCTTATTTCCCACCGAACTGAATCTAGAACCTAAAGATCCTATTGAGAACATAATTCAATAACCATAATTATTTGATTTCTGAATATTCTATTCCTTCATGTCATTCAGATGGTTCAAATTCCATATAGATCTCCAATAATTTACCATTTTTGTATATGACAACAAACTGGATGTAAATTTGTATGGTGATTATTTTATCTAAACTCAATGAAAGGAAATATACAATATGAATACAATTTCACTAGACATATGTCACACGTATTAATCTACGTGTTAAAAGTACAACATGATTAAATAATGAATTACATTTTTTAAAAATTTTACCATTTAACTTAAAATTCAATAAAAAATTTCTATGTACATCAATATATTTCCATGACATTTGTGAGTAGTATTTTATATTTCATATAAAGAACAAAATTGTTTATAAGCAAAGATGGCTAGTGGCTAACAGTGGAATCCAGGGCGCAAGTTTCGTCCTATTTGGGACTCGTCAGCTGGATGTATTTTCATCTCACAGCCGATATTCACTCTAGGACTGGAACCATATACTGTCTGCTTCAAATGCCATCGTGTTATCCACTTAGCTACTGAGTTCTGATAGCCACTTGCTTGCGCAATGGAGAAGATAAAAGTAAAAAACACAAATTGAAAACTGTATATATTTGATACTTCATCAAAGTAGTATACTATCAGCTATATGATTATTATATACTTTGATGAATGTCGTAAGATCAAGTGAATTCCCCAAACTAATCTATATTGAATAGATTTCAATAATTAGATATCTCAGTTATCGCTGAATTCATACAAAAAGATAAATTCACTATATTTCATTGGTATCTAATAAATAACAGATCAATTGTGCAATTATATACATAGTCTATCTAGTAAAAAGAACCGCAAACAAGACATACAGACATTATTTTATAGAATTTGTTATAAATTGATCTGATTCCCATCAAATTATGCTCACATTGTAGCACTTTTTCATCTATATATTCATTGTCCAAAGCATCCCTGAGGTTTTTAGAAGTTACGGTGATGCATTTAACGTCAATTCTGTAGTTCCTATGAACAATCCTTGATAAGGTTATGGATTTATTGTATTTCAAAATCTTGTATTAGACTGAATTGATTATTCAGTACTCATTGTTCGTCATGGTTATTAGTTCATGATGTAAGACACCTCCAAACAGTCAGGGTTCTTCGACCTAAGTAGTGAAGTTAAATAAATTATCTTAATTATATCAAGTAGTGAAGCTGGATGACAAACGATCGGATTCACTAGTAGGCAACAGTTTTCTCAATACTACAAATGGACATTATTGATGAATGCCAAATAACACGAAAACTAAATTCACGATTTCCCTGTTCTCTACCTCTCACTAACTAATCATCGTTGTTTGTATTTACACTCATCAACACACAATTTATTTAAAGCAATGAGTCAAGCACAGTTGAATGGTCAGTGTATGAGTGGGTGTCAACATGAAATACTATGTGAAAGTGATGAAATTGGAAATGAAACGATAAAACTTCCGATATGATGAATATGAAACATCATTATATAATGAAACTATTCATCAACTCATTATATGAAGTTGTAAATTCCAACAAATATTTATCTAATATCAATCTAAGGTCAACACAACTTCCCACACATAGATTTTCTTACTTAAGACTAAGTGAATCAATTTAGTGCAATACATAGTAGTTGTAAATGAAATCACACTTCCGATCATATCAAAAAATATATGATGAATATATACATATCATCATCAGGGCTTTAATAGAAACATGTAGACAGATGATTTTCCCGAACTCCAATGCTTCAGGAGTCAAGTATTGAGTTCTAGTTTCTTCTTCAATCCTAATCCAAAAACCATTTCACTATCAAGTTCTAAGTAGAAGAAGATAAGATTTTCCTCATAATGTTACTTATAGGCATTAAAAATTGTTCGTTGTAAGTTGTGTGTGGTAATTTGTGATTAGCGTTTTCTGACAGGCTGGAAATATGAACTTTCTGAGTACAGGAAGGAAATTGTTTTTCTCTTTATGTTTTAAATCATTTTTGATTGAGTGACATCAATCGGATAAGAATTGAATGTGTAAAAGCATTGCACAAGCGTTTTAATGTAGTCTGAAACTATGCAGCAACAGGAACTCATAATCCATACAGAAGTCGTACATAAAGCTTTTAAGGTTTCATCGCGAGCAGCTCACCGTTCAGAATAACTCTTTTCAACAAGTCTATCAAGTCATTTATCTGATATAATTTCATGTAATTGATTTAAATCCACATTCTCAGTTTAAGTGCTAATGGTACCTTCCGGTTTGTCAAATCAAAGTAGATGGTTCGTTGTTCGAACCTGTTATTTGAAAACTGAAGGTCAAACTTCTTTAACACTGAGAAACCGCTCCTTTACCTTTAAACCACTAACGGGTAGTAATCCAATTTTTTTATTGTTAATTTCACTCAATTCACAACTCAATTCTATCACTATTCAATTGTTGGGTAGAAAATTACTTTATATATATAAATACCATCGATTACTATTTCTCAATAGTAGTACTAGAAGCTGGCGACCAATGGTCACATTTCGGATGGTCAATCTAAATCGTGGTATTCGTTCATGAATTCAGTGACTTTTAATCCGAGCCATGTTGTTAGGTCCAGACTACATGGCTTGTGTTCACGAACTAGCCACAATAAGTGGTTGGAGACAGCAAGTGATATCATTCGCTGGCAGATAAATTTACTCTTTAGTTCTTTCACCTCTTTAATTTCATTATTTTTTGTGAATATTTTCTCATCCAGTCTTCTTCAATCATATTCTCAATGCTTAGTCTTTGTCTGTATTACTGGTGCTACATTTATACCGACTTCTTTACTTATCCATGTTCCTAGTTTCATCTCATGATGGCGACACGGTGTCACAAGTTGTGCTGACGTGAATTTGTTCTAGGCTCTATATTGATTTCGACTGACTGACTGACTGACATTTATTTGTTAAACGATTCCTAACTTCTGTAATTCACTTATACTTTCATTTTTACCAATCTTGAAGTAACAATATTATAGGTTCAGACAAATTATTTAATTGTTGCACATTAATGTTAGCGAATACTATCATCCAATTATTTCATTTGGTAAACTGTGCAAATCAATAACGACAAATTTTGTGAAAGGCTGTTCTCTGAAAATTCAATCCTATTAACATGATTTCATAATGTAACCTCTTCTAGCGTAATATTAGTGAATTATGGCTTCATATAGAAAGAAACCCTTTGCAATCCGTTTAATTTAATAGTAACAGTTCTATTCATTAAGTCAAAATTATCTTTCAAATAGTATACAGATAATAGTTCTTTCCTTATATGTATATATGATGGTGGAGATTTAAACAACTTATACCTTTCAGATATTTTATTATAGTCAGAGATTATTTACTCATCTCAACATAAACTTTCACATAATGATAAATAGGATTTAATGATTATATCAACCAAATAGGATATATTTCATTCATCATTAAGTCGCATCGAGTATCATATCTTACATATAAATGAACCTAACTGAACCAACTGTTACCTTCGAAATATCTACTCAAAACAAGTTAAACTCTCTTTCAATAAAATAATTTAATATAAAGTAAGTAATTAATTAACAGAAATATATAATAAATAAAATAATAAATACAATAAATTTATCATTGTCTGTAGCGAAATGAAAAGCTTTATTATGGCCAATATTTACAGATGATGAGACAAATCAATCATCAAATAAAATAGTGCAATTAATTGTTGACATCATATTATATCAATAGAACATGAAATCATCAAGTATTAATAATGCAATTCATGTATTACTAACAATTTGATGGTGGTATTATAGATACTGGAATATTTGAATGATGTAATACATATGATGTAACACTTGGTGTAAAATTAAGCTTCCAAAATCCTAAACCACGTTTTGACATTACAACTGCATTAATCTTTCTTTCATTTATTGTTTTAACTAATGCTGGACCAGCTTTATTATCAATTTGAATAAGACCTTCAGATTTGATTCCATATTTAGTTGCTTTATGTACCATCTCTTGACATAAATATCTTGCACTTCTCATAGTTTCTTCTGGTACATGAAATGATGAACCAGCTGGCATCGATTCACATTCATGTGATAATGCAGATAACGCTGATGGTTGAATAGGATCAATGACATGAACAAATATAATCAAATCACCATCACGTTTCATATTTTCTTTATACCAATCTAATGCTTTCTTCGACTCAGTGCTATTATCTAATGGAATCAATACCTTTCTTAATACTTTGGTATTTTTTGGTGAATTGGATCCAGTCATTGTTAAGCTGTTTTATTTGATTTGACTAAGTACTTAGTTCCCTTGAATCTATGTTATTTTCATTGTGTGCTCACATCATTTATATACTTGAAAATGAAAATATTCATTGGCTAAAAAAAAAAATGAGTTGAATGGTATTTGGAAAGTATATGACTGGTCATTGTTCAGAATTGACTATCAAGGTCAAACAATATTTAAAATACTGTTTAAAACAATGATTGGCATTAAATTAAATATCTGAATGTTTGTTCATTAGTACATTTTTTAGATTGGTTTAAATTGTATTATGTTTTTTTAACACAGCAATAACTTCGTATAGATTTATCAACAATCTTTTAACTTCAACCTTGAATAATAATGAAAACGTACCATTTATTTTTGTGTTTCAGTACTACAGTAAGTTGTTGTAAAACCTTATAATTTAAAGATAAATCATGTCCCGGGTTCGAATCTCACAAGAGGGGTTATGGATACGCACTAATGAGGAGTTCCATACTAGAACGAAACAGCCGTCCAGTGCTTTCAGGTTTTCTATGGTGATCTAGCTTGGATTGATTCAGGAATTTAGCTATTATTAATCTCCACAAAACCCTCTTTTTGATATTTACTTTAACTTGATTAGTTAATATAGTTATATGTTATAAAATAGAGTTAATTTTATTACTTAGGAAAAATGTTCAGTATAAAGATGTTTATTCAATGCATTTGTGGTATGTTATTGCAGTAATTATAAACATAATTCATAGGCAAACTTTCTTACAGAGTTATATTCCTTGTAAATAATAAAAACGTTAGTTCATGTTTCTTTGTTTTTGGTTCAGTGACAATCCGATAAATGATAAAAGTCAGGACATAAGGTTCTTGTATGATTTGTTCAGTTGATAAGCCAAAATCAAGTAGATTACGTGTTTTGCTTTATCGGCATTAAGGTATAACACGATTCTAAATTAATGTCATTACCAAAGTGACTAGTATTATTTGAACATAATTGACTTAATATATGTAAATTATATTTGAAACAATCTCAGCGATTAAAATTTAAATAATTCCAACGTTTCGTCCAGCTAACTTTTCTGGACTTCTTTAGGGTAATAATCTTACTTCACAGTTATCTGTATGAACTTTAGAAAGATCTTCATAAAGATATTTACTAAGAAATAAAATCAAAGATAACAATTATTGGGCTTTATCTTGATGTAACAACGGCAATGTGAATATTGTTTTGGACCAATATGAGATCGTGAATGTTCAACATTGGTTGAGTTTCAGATGTAGATTCAATGCTTTCCAGATGTACTCTGGTTTTTAAATGGTTCTTCATACTAGATCAGTACATGTGGTAAACTCGATTTTCAAATTAAATCAAGTCTTCATTTTAAAAAACACTGAAGAAAATAATGTTATTACCCTTCTCAGATCAAGTCTCTAAACAGACTTCTGAGTCTCAACGAGTCCTGGGTTACACACTTTATACTCTAAATAAAGTGATTTATGTGTTTTAGTATGCAAATTGTGTTCGAAGGCTCCTAGAATACTGCACTTCTATTCTTGGAAGGGTAGACAAAAATGATAAACTTTAATTGAAATCCGTTCAGTAGCAATTCACACTTCGTCATCTTGGAGATAATTGCACCTTAAACTATAAATCCAGTTGTAATAAGCTAGAACGCTATCCTTTTTAGAGATGGAGACTCGAACGAAATTTATTATTTTTCTTAAAAATACTTACTAAACCATCATTTACATTTACTAATGAAATCTCATATTCTAAAACACCTAGTTATGTCATCTGTAACACTTTATTGATCAGTGAAACAATCTCATTTTAAATCTTTAAATTATATGAATTTTTTAGTAAATTTTTTAAACTCTGAAATGGTTTGCCGTAATCAGGATGTCAAATATAATCATTACCATCAATTGATTATTGCATGTTCACTTAACTCACCTCTAAAACTACCTTAAATGTTTCTAGAAATTTAAATCAATCCCATTCAACTACTAAAATTATTGAGAAGTCAAATGTCCAATCTTTGTTTTCACTGAGTGAACTCACTAAACTAACCTTTCTTCAGATATTTTACACTTTCGCAGTTCCTGATATGTAAAGTTAAATTAAATTACATTTAACCCATTCAGTATATTATAAAATAACGTAGTATACACACAATTTCAAAACAGTCCTAGTAATTCCTACAGTTCTTATTAATTGTTTTCTGTTTTGTAATATTTGTATAATTGTAGATTACTGAAATTACATGTTAAGGATAAAAAGAATAAATCTGGATACACTATGCGTAAGTCGACAATATAAAATACTCCTTCAACAGAGAATTTAGTGAGCAGTAGAATTCACTCAGTGAATTTATTTCTGAATCAGAATCATCAATTCCATTCATCGTCATTACAATATTCAGTTTCATATTGAAATGCAAAATCAATCATATTGACTTATAATAACAGAAATTTATCTACTCAACTATTGAATCCTTAGTGGCATCAATGTGTCAAATAAGAATAACCACATTATGTGTGTGAAACAAAATAAAACATTCAATCAGTTAAGTGTAACATTGAATCTGACACACATATATACACAAGTTCGAGTCTGCACATCACATTAGTACACCGATTATACCACAATCCATCTATTCTGAAATAATTTATAACAAATTGTTTGTACAGATAAAATACACTCAACATATACATACACCTACAAAGATTACACTAAATTCAATCTAATTGTCAAAAACACAATTATTCAGACAATTTGTGATATCGATAACATAGAAGATCACAATTCGAAACTACAAATAAGTGTATAATAAAGGTGGAATTTATGTTATGGAGTGAGTGACATCACTTAGATGAATCATTACAATAGTAACAATTCAGTGGTTTTCACATCATTCTCTTCGAAGTCATTCTTCAGTTCGAACCCACAACATTTAGATATCGGTGTTAATATGACATTCACTAGTTCACTGAATCTGAAAGTCCTTGAGAAATTTTAAGTATCAGAAAGGGGTTTTTGTGGATATTATAGTAATTTAATAGTTGATATCATGAGTGAATTGAAGCTAGACCACCATGGAACATCTGGAAACACTGGACGGGCGTTTCGTCCTAGCATGGAACTCCTCAGCAGTGCGCATCCACGATCTCTCCCCGCGGGATTCAAACCCAGGACATTCCGGTCTTGCGTGCTAACACTTAACCTCTAGACCATCGAGCCGACATCCAACGGTGTTAATGTCTGACTTCAACCAATCCACAAATAAGTGTATAATACAAGTAGAATCTGTGTTATGCAGTGAGTGACATCATTTAGATGAATCATTACAATAGTAACAATTCAGTGGTTTCCACATCATTCTCTTCGAAGTCATTCTTCAGTTCGAACCCACAACATTTAGATATCGGTGTTAATATGACATTCACTAATTCACTGAATCCGAATACAACCACCCACCATTTCAAAGCCAGTGTATTTACAACATTGCACAACATCCACATACTGGTATTAATGATCAGAAGTGGTGAGAACTTACTAGAATTTTGGCAAAGTATTTTCGAATTTACTCACTATTGAGTAAACGATTACTAATATCATTAGTATTGTTTAGTTTCAGAGTGATATCTATTCCTCTGCATCAGTGATTTGGATGTTTGAGTTCAGATTGGAGAATATTATAACTTGAACTCATAGATGATCACTATTCTAAACGGTTTTAGATTCGAGAAATTGTTTATTCAATGCTCTTAATAGAACACAACTAGTGAATGTCAATTTATCATGTAAATGATTTTACATATTAAAAGTGATCATTAAATGAATCCTCATATTTGTTGTATCAGTCAATGGGCCATACAGGTAACATGTACATTATCCGATTGACGTCTACGCCATCCTCAATACTAATGCTTAGAGATTTTGGTTGACATCGTTTAGAATTGCTCCCAATTTTGCAAGTGCTTTAAGAACTTTAGTCCTCAAATCTCCTTATATATTTCGCTTTCCCCTTCTATAAGTATTTTTTCTCCAACTATCACTAATAATATTAACACTGTAGTCAACAAAACACCAGTGGGGATAACAGGACGCATTTAACACGAAATTACAGAGCACCTCAATAAAATCTGAGAACCATATAGTAAATAGTTAATTTGCAAAATATCAATCCATTGTCTCTGATTTCATTGTTTATTCATTTTCATACTAATTGCGTTCCGTTCCCGTCCTTTTCTTATCGATCTTCTGTTGAAATACATTCGATGTCTGACCACCATTATATACTACTGATATGGATATAAATAACCCACGCCACAATACTACGATATTATTTAGTATGATTGTATTAATGTAGTATGGCCACTTGAGCTGATACATATATTCATTACATTCCATGTTACATATGACTGACTACGTGACTGAATAGTAGAAGACATTAAACTTTAAAAGTAAATCTAAGAACTAAAAAAACCACATTGATGTACTTCTACCCTTAATAGTTAAGAATTATCTTTTTTGATAAAGAAATTGAATGAAGAATAAAGTAATATTATTTTCTTATCCAAGTATATCTCTACTATAATCTATTAATGCATATTTGTAATATATTAAATAATGATCTGTTAAAAGTAAGATATCATAAAAGAAATTACACTTATATATAAATCAGGTTAAATTGCACAGTAAATATCAATGGAATCTATGGTATGTGTTTAATTCTATTGACACTTAGTTAACTGGTTGTTGATATTTCAACTAAAGGTCAACCCTGGTGGTTAATTCTTCAAAGTTCAGCTTATTATTTATTAAAATATTATGTTACGATACCTATCAAAACGTTTAGAGAGCATGATATTTAATAATCCAAATGTTTAAGATAGCTAGTGGAAAACTCTACTTTGAAGCTTCATGTTACTTGATACTCGTTAGCAAGATGAACTAGCAAATTTAGGGTAATGGATACCTTATTGATCATTGAATAGTGATA